GGGACTTTAGTCGCCCATAAATACGTCAATGGCATTTTAAGTAGAGTGACTTTAGTCGCCAGTAGTATATATATATCAATGACATTTTATATAAAACGACTATAGTTGTCTATAGCATATCACTGGCATCTTATGCGACTTTAGTCGCCAGTAGTATTACATGTCAGTGACATCTTATGTAGAGCGATTATAGTCACTCATAGTGTATCAGTTACATTTCATGCAGAGCGACTATAATCGTTCATAGTATATTAATGGCATATTATGGAGAGCGATTATAGTAAGGGTTAAAAACGAAAGAACGACTTTTTCGGATCAGGCACTATGGGAAGTGATTCGAATTCGGTCGGAAATTACAATCGTGGAAAGAAAGAGGAAGAAACTTATTTGAATAATAAAATTAATCTGGCTATCCATGATACAAGCAGGCTCGTCACTCAACAGATTCTTTAATCTAGCCACTGATATTTATGGATCAATCTTATATTATAATATGTGTGTTTTATTATTGTTCTTATATTTGGAGAAATAAGCAATAATATTCTTAACTTTAGTTGGCAATTTTTTTATTTCTTTTAATCTTTGATATGCCTTCTTATATCGCTTTTTTCATTTTATAATTTTCAGTTTTATCGTTTTTAACGTTATTCTGTTAAATTATCACCATTTAAGCCTATATTTATCAGATAGCAAATAGTATAACTTGTTTTTATAATAAACATCCTTCTTGTTTTTTTAATAAACATTCCTCAACATCTTTTTCTTTGAAATACCACTTCCAATTCTCAAAATCCAGTTTATCCTATGTTTATCAAATTGGAAACGTTTTCTAACTTCAATTGCCCGCTACAACTTTTCGCTACATCTTGCACATTTTCCAACTAAAATTTTGTGACGAAAGAAATTAATTAAATGGAACGCGTTTAATTAATTTAACGACAATTGATTGTCGTAAAAGTCGCAGCGAAATATTAAAAAAAAATACAAAAAATTTTCACGAATCGAAGGATAATTTAAGGATATATCAGGGAAGCCCCGAAAGAAAGAGGAAGAGCCGAAGAAGAAGAAGAAAAAAAAGAAACCGAAGAAAGCGCCAAAAATGCCAGTGACCGCGGATCCGCTTGCGTTGTTGCGCCAACTCGAGGAGTCGATAATCACGCTCCGTTCGGACGAAAAATCGGTGACAAGCACGATCGACGACGAAGATTACGACGACGACGAGGAGGAGGAGTACGAGGAGGAGGAGTGGGACGAGAACAGAGTCGATATGAGAAAGAAGGAACACGGTATATATATATATATATCGATAATTTTATATTTTATTTATCCCCTCCATATCTCCGTCGTTTCGATCTTTTTTCTCTTTCCAGAAATTGATTTCGTGCCACCGCCGGGCGAGGAGGACAAGTACATCATGGTCAAGGTATCTCTGCGACGAGTCGAAAATTCGAAGGGTCGAATAAAGTTACAAGTCGTAATACGATAATCTTATTTCGATTCGACGATAATCGAGCTATATAATCGTCACGAAGAACGAATTTATACGAAAAAATACGAATTTATATCGACCCTTGTGATAATTAACCCTTTGCGCTCCAGTGGGATTGATGCGGTAACTCGAACGGCGACAATATTTATTTAGTTCGATTTTTTAGAATATCGCTTCATAAATAGGTTCCTAAGCTCTTTACGTGTAATCTTATGAGGTGAAGAATAATATATTGTTGAATGGCTAGATTTTTTATCTCAAATTAGACGGTGAGTCGAACGACATCTTCGGCGTTAGTCCGAGTTCGACAGTCGTGGGAATAGAAATATTATTTTCAAAGTTTTTTTTGAGATTTGGAAGCGTGGAGTACGGTAATGAAATTAGTTGGAGCGAAGATGAGTTTTGATTTTTCGTTATCGAATGACAAAATTACTTTTATTCGTAAAGAAATTAACGATAGAGAA